AACCTAACTGCTTGAATAAATAAAATAACAACAGATCTTGAAAGGAGAGGAAAGACAAGGGCAGGTAGTATTGACTTAAGGAAAGCTGTAAATGATAGGAGGAGGGACATCTACCTTTGTAGGTGGCTGTGGCCTTGTGTAAACTAGATCAGGGTAAGCAAATGATATCACTGACCAGAAAAATTTAAATTATGTGAATTAAAAGAGATGACTACTACTTGGTGTAGTAGGAAATGACTGGAAAAATTACAGGTATCAGATGTAATTCTCAAAATTTTTTGAAGCTATCAGAAAAAATATTTCATTCATCTGAAATCCTTCTTTGCTATAAAACAGATATTCAAGCCACTTGCCTGATTTACATGAAATTCCTAAAAATACTATAGGGTGTAGCTGTGACACTGCACTAATCCTTTATCACAATAACATCTTTCTTCTATTTTTCTATCAAGATCATGACTAGGGGGAAGAATGTTAAAAGTCAAAGATGGTCCTGGACATTAAATTCTTTCATTAACTATTTAGAGAGTTTAAACATGACCTAGTAAGTTTAAAAGCAAGTTATCTGAAGGCAGTAGTTTGCACATGGTGAAATTCAGAATAATCCTTATAAAGAATAGCTGCCAGAAGTCATACACAAAATTGTCAAACTACTTGGCATAACAAAATAAGAACTATGCTCCAACATCACCTTTCTGAGAACATCAGAGGGCAATTCCCTGCTCAGAGGACTCCACAGCAAGTGCTGCAGCTAAACTTACTATCCTGTGGCATTATTTTCACCACTGTGAGCATCAAAGAGGATTAATCTTGCCAAAGCACAGGAATGAAAAATCACATTTGGGTTTGGAGGAATATCTTACCATTATTCTATTCCCATATACTCCCAAAACTATGAATTACCTGGCCCTAAATTTACTGAAATCCTGATTACATCTGATTTAAATTGACATGCAATTTGAGTTAAATTTATTTTCTGCACTTTCAAGGGAGATTTTTTGTTTCTGTTTATTTAAACTGCTGTTGAAATTGGTTAATTAAAAGGATTTAAAAAATCTTAATACTCTAAACAGAGCAAACTGGTTCTGAATTATTAAGCAACATTTTAGATGCATTTAAATAACCTTAAGTGACTTAACTGCCACCTGATCCTAAGCTGTGGCTCAGAAAAATAAAATGTGAAATACTGTAGAAGTCTTGGCTTACCAAGGCTTCCAGATACAGTAAATAAAGAGCTTAAGTCTCTAATACCATGTCTGCAGAAGGCATACTCTCAAATACATAACTAATGCTCCACCTCAAGCAGAAATCAGCAGCAGAAATTATAGCTTGCAGGTTTGATTTTTCATGAGGAATTAATAAATTCAGTCTTTCAAATATAGCATTTAGAAGGAGGAATCATGCCTGGCCCTTCCTTTCTGACACACACCACAAAACATTCACAAACATATTAACCCTAGAAGGGTGGCTGACACTCAGTTTGGGTAAATTTCTGCACATTCCTCTTATAGTTTCAGCTAGACCTGGTCCACTTCAGCTTCTTGCCTAAGTGGGGTAAAATGCCCACCCTGTAAGATGTCAACAGTTTTAGGCAGGCTTGTGCACATCACTAGCACTGAAGTAAGGGAGGAACTGAGTATCTGGAGGTCTCCAGGGCAATGGGAGAAGGAGGATCCTGCAGCTGGGAGGTCAAAAGGAGTACCAAAGACAGAGTTTGTATTTAAACATAACATTTTTGAAAAAAATATGTTTGAAAGTATCAGAATTACGTTGCTGGAGTTTTGTTGCAGTAACTAAGAGTTTGGGAAGGATTTTAAGAGAAAGGGACCTAAATACTGAACAAGAAAGTTGACTGAGCACACTGATATACATAGAGTAAGCTCTTTTTGTTATAGTGAAATGTGATTTCTGGAAGACAGGGAACTATAACTCTGAAATCAGCACACACATTTAACAGCACACACATTTGTTCCCACAAAGCCTTTGCAGGTGTATTTAAGAACACAAGAAATACATTCTTTGCACTGAAATTTCTCTGCCAAGAAATACAATACAGCTTTTCACTCCCAAAGATGTGCTTGCCAAGGTTACCAGAGTCTGAGGCAAAGCTCCCAGCTGCCCCAAGCTCACTTTGTGACACACACTGGTGGTACAAGATGTGGTGCTGAGGTGCTGAGAGAGGAGCTGGTTAATATCTAATTTCAGCACGGGTAGAAAGAACAACACAGTCAGTGACAAAGACCCAATAACAAGTCACTGCATGTGCTTAACTGCTTTGGAATGTCACTGCTGCTTTAAAATCTACAAGTAGTGTCTGGAAAAGGTTAATCTGGGTATTTACTCATGTGTAGAAGTTTGTATTTACAATAGGGTTATGATACCAACTTTAAGTTAGCTAAGGATATCTGTGTAAGCAACTGGAACATAGGACTAAGAAGTAATGAATTTTTATTTATGAAAGATGTAAAAGTACTTCAACAACACTGCACTGTATCAGAACTGATGGCTTTGAACAGAAGGTAAAAATGCCCTAACAAGTTTATCACAAGAAAATGTTGATCCAGTTGAAGATAATCCCCTTGTTTTAATAAAACAGAAACACTTTTGGGGGTGTGTATGCTATTGTAAAGCAGATTAGGATATAGGAAAAAAACCAAACTAACTTTATAAGACATGTTCTCATCTTACTGCAGCAAAATTCCAGCAAAGTAATTCAGATACTTTCTAACATTTTTTTTTTTCAAAAAATGTTATATATAGTTTAAATACAGACATTTTAAATGCTCCTGTTTTCTGGAGCACAAGCATTCCAAGTGCTCTGTCCTTGTAGCACAGATTTCCATTCATGTTGACAAAATACCATACAGCAGAAGGGTCTTGATAACTTACAGTGTATTTTTAAATGACTACAGACCACAAGGCCCAAGGCAATGAATATATACTTTCACTGTACTTCTTCCAAGCCATTCAACAATGCCTTTTTTTTAATTTTTTTAAATCTGTCTATCGAGTTCCATGCTTCCAACTTTCCAAACCTGGGGGACATGACAGATGTCATTTACAGTTCTCAGTGGTTAGCAAATCCCCAGGGAATACTTTTTGTCTGTTGTGGCTCTGGTGGTCACAATGGCAACGGGATTCATACATGGCTGAGTCAATCAGCATGAATCATTTATGTGACTCCTCATACATGGCATTATTAGGTTGGAATCATAGAAAAAAGATGACAGGGTCTTTGCTTCCCACACAACAGACCAACAGCTCCAGACCCTGACACTAAATTCTCCTTTCTTTGCCTCAGCCTTTTCTGCCTGCCAGTTTCACAGATATACTGACAATACCAGCCTGTTCTAATTTAGTGGTATGTTTTTCTTTTCTATGTTTTTTTAAGTACTTGTTCTTATGTGAGTCACCTGATAAATTTTTGAAGTTTCTTACAGATGACTAGCATTCATAATGATGATGATGTGATAAGTACAGAAACAGTCAGTGTGAAGTGAAAAACAAATGTAAAAAGTTAAGACTAATATACCTGTAGGGTATTTATATTAAGTATGTATTACATCAGAAATAAGTTACAGGTGGGGAGGCATGACTTGCAAAATAGTTAAAACATACAATCCCACTGTTTAGACTGCAAAACAGTGTTTTTCTTTTGTCAAGTACACTGAACCATCAGTAATCCTGGAAACACAGCTGACTTCTAATCTTTGGTTCCACTGGAAATGAAACTGCATGCTTAAGGAGTAAAGTTAATTAGTGATTAATGAGATTCCTTAAATGCTGCTTCTCAATCTGACTGATCAGGATTCCCAATACAGGGCAAGGTGGAAGAAGAGCTGCAAGCACTGCAATCCTGTTCACAATTGTGCCAAAAACGGGTCAGAAATCACATCCACTCACAAGGTCATATGCTTCCTAAGGATAAGCAAGATTCTTCTCCTTTGGAGTACTTACCAATAAGATGATAAAGTAAGAGCTATCTGTTACAAACTACTGTGAACACGTCACTCAGAGCCTCATTCCTAGTGAACTTCCCCCAGGGGCAGTGATGGGAAACAAAATGGAAAAGCAATCCAAATTACTGAACTCCTTTGGTGAAAAATGGTTTAACCAGTCCCCTGGAGTTGCCTCCAGCAAACAAGACCCCAGCTGGTCCAGAGCTGCCCCACTCCTCTGCAGTGCTCAGGCAGTATGGCCAAAGAGCTGCTGAACTCCACCCACCACTGCCTGGCTCTGTCCTGACATCTCTGCAGTGCCCATTCCCTTCACCTTTTATCCAGGGTCCCTGCACACAGTTGGACCCACTGACTTTCATCTTTGCTGTAGCAATGACTAAATAATAAATAAAAGCTAATTTCTGCAGAAAACAGAGAGGTGGATTTTCAGACATTTAGGAGCAAGAACGAAAATGATCTGTAGATTTATCAACAGAATTGGCTGTTGTAAGCAGTGAGCAGTATTGATTCTGAAAATCAGCCACAGTAGGTTCATCATACAATTTCAAGGTAGGAGATGTAATTATCTACTATTATGTAACAGGGGGGGGATAAAATATTTATTAAAATAGTTCATAACTGGGTCATATCTGATGCTGAGCCTTATTCATAACGTAAAATTGCATCCAAATGGCAAAACCAGAAAGATCAGAAGTACCAGCCATAACAGACTCAAACAATGAACTACAATAGCAGTGTTGATGGAGCTTCCTTCAAAACAGGACATGAGCAAAGCTGGCTCAGCATATTTGAGTTTTCACTGAATATGGTCCACAAATTTTTCTGAAATGTAGGATTTTTTACAATACCACTGGAGGCAGGTTTCACAGCTCTGTATGTAACATCTGACAGCACTGGGCAGCCAGCACCTGCCTTAGAGCTTGGCAGCACTGGAACATACCCAGGCACAAGTTTTACCTTCTATGCTATAACACCCCAGCCCATCCAACCCACAGGAGCAAGAAGCAGAGACATTTATTCCTGCAAGTTGTATTTACTCACATCTCTCCTCGGAAAGGTGCCCAGCAGCTTGTACTCCTCCCAAGGATATCCCTTGGAAGCTACAAAATCAAAGACAACCTGCAGCTTGCTGCTGGCCAGGAAACGCCGCTCAAAGAATTCGCCGCTGGGCGTCCGGATGCGGAGTTTGCTGACGGACTCGGTGCTCTCCTCCTTCGGCTCGGGGGGCAAGGACTGCTCCAGAGACAGCCTGATGGCCTGGGGAAGGAAAAACAACCATTTCAGCCTGCAATGCCAGCAAGAGAAGAAAGGGAGAAAGATTTTCTTTTTATTTCTTCTAGAACTTCAAGATGTGTCGCAGTGCTCCAGAGCCTTTATATCTCAATGACAAAATAATTTTTATTCGCTCCTTAATAACAGCCCAGCAGACAACTAATTAAAATAAATCCTTCTTTATAACACATATTATTAGGTCTACAGTTAATGCACAATGGGATACGTAATTTAATCATTTGGCAGAAAGCCTTGGAAAAAAATTGAATGAGAGAATAATTGTCAAGTGGCCAATTGCTTCCTTAAAGGGTATAAATTAAAAGGCAGTGAAAGTATTTCTTTAAAAGCACTTGTCAAGTTGCCTTCCTCTTGCAGTGGTAATTGACCATTTGCAGTAGACTGGACCCTTAATGGCAGTTCAGAGTGAAAAGAAATATATGCAAGAAATTTACTACAAATAAACTGAAACACTGTTAAAAGATGCAATTAAAAATGTACATTAGATACACAGAGTACATATAAAAGTAGGAATCATTAAAGAAGAAAACTGGGAGAAGAGAAATGGGAGCTTGAGGATTTGAAGTTGGTGGTAGTAGTAGTAGCACTTATAAGATAGTTCTAACTACAGGTGAACACATTTTCTACAACAACCTGCATGAAATCAGCCCTCAGATTGCAATGACACTACGTGACAGTCAAATGTGTATGACTGCCTTGCAGCTAACATTGCTGATGTCAAGACTTTAAGGGCAGGATCCAGGTCTGTGTTCTCTGTCCCCTGTCTCTGCTAGCTGCTAGAGCACCAATCCTTTGATTAGATTTTTTTAAAAAATAAAATTAATGGATGACATCAGACTGCTGAATGAGGTGAGCTTGATTTTCAAGGGTATTTCTGGTATTCATGGGCAGCAGCAGCATCTGTCAAAAATTTGATCATATTCAGAAGCAGCTCTGTTACAGTATCACATCACTTAAGGCAGTACTTAAAGAGAAGGTAAATGAATGGAAGAAGCAGCACAAACACACTGCCTGCCTCAAAATGTGCTTAAAAGACAATTTTTCAAATTGAAGAGGCAGTCAGGCAGGAATTTACCCATTTTCAAGGAACTTTCAATATACACAGGTGCTATTTGTGCCTTTGAAAACCTCCCCAAGGTCATTTAGTAACAGAAACTGATAGAGGGTGATTACATTGCAGGGAAAGGACTGGGCAGAAGCAAGATTACAAAGGCTTTTAAATAGTCTACTTCTCACACACACACCTCTGAGCAAATTATATCTCAGTATAAATATTTATACACAGAACTTCAGTTCATTTTTGCTCATCTATTATGAGATTATATTTTAAATAGAGTCTATTTTAATTTTCTCCCTCTCCATTCTCAACCACCTGCTTACTATCTTGCTGTTTTGACATTTCCCCACACAGTATAACAACAGATGCTACATTATTTACTGAACCCAATCAATTATATTATAGAAAAATAAACAACAGTAGCTCATTAGAGCTCCTTCCTTTGTGCAAAGAGTGCATCGCTCCCCAAAGTAACCACTCAACATAAAATGGCAATTTACAAGGGATATTCTGTACCAGCAAACCAAGTCAGAAAACAGTGACATGATGGATCACATTAAAAACTCTTGGACCTGAACAAGCAATTTCAGTTTGTTGATAAAAAGGTGTTCAGTATGTGAAAAACTCAATAGTCAGATTTTAAAATACAAACTGAACATAAAGCCACTTCTGTAAGTAAACACTGTTGCAAAACAATTCAGTCCAAGTAATCTGTATAGTTGAAAATGGGGAGTGTTAGTAAACATTATTGTTAAAATCCCTTTTGTTCTACTAAGCAAACAGATCCTATTATTTTCATTACTGCATTACTGCACTCTGCATTAAAACAGGGAAGCCCAGGTATATTTTAGTAACATGGGCAGTGCTGCAGTCTTTGCATAAGAAAACCATTTCCAGAAGGCCAAGGTATTAGAAAAGGCTCAGGAGCAGATATAATGAAGCAGAAATAATTATTGTTTCTATGCATGCAAAATAACTTAGAAAAGAAAAACACATTTCTTGCTTGAGCCTGAGTGTGAGCTGATCTCCTGCTGCAGTGGATTCATGTTCAGCTGCTATTAACCTCACAGAATTTCTATCTCACAACCAGTCTAGACCCCAAAAGAGGCTGCAGGAGCCATCTCTGAGAGCCACTGGAACTCTCAGCATTTACCAAATTGAGAGAATCTACAAAATAACAGTTTGAGGAACAGAACTCTTCACAGCACAGGGTTTCTGTTTTCTTTCAGAGGCCTAGAGACATAAACCATTTGTTTAAACACAATTTTCATTCTAAGGAAGATTCCATAGAATACTGTTCAGAAATTTTTAAAAGTACCACAAATCTTATTTTCAAAATTCTAGGTTTTTTTGGTAACTTGTTTCATCAAAATTGCAGGTAGGCTTGTAGGCTTTGTGCTACTTCCTGGAAAAAAATGAAAGGGTTCCATGTTTTTAAAAAGAGTGGCTGCAGAAAAGAGGTTAGAGTCTCCCAAAGATTCCAGCATTTATGGAGCTCATTTCACCGATCTCCTGTGAGCAGGTCCATCCATCTAATATCTGGCTGTATCTGAGACCCAGATGATAAAACAGAAAAGCTATTAAACAGCAGATGAAAATTATTTAGCTGCACTTTGTGTCACAGATATATAGTAAGAAATCAATAACAGTAAAGAAAATTGATCACACAAAAAGTATGCTTTGAACTGAAGTTGCAGTGTGTGCTGAATGAGTTTCAGTGCTCAAAAGCTTAATGAATTCATAAGGTTATCAGAAAAGGTAAAACATCCCACCTCACGCTCCTCCTCCTGCTCCTTCCGGATTTGTTCCAGGCGAAACTGCTCTGCCATTTCTCTCTCTTGTGCTTCCCTCTAACAAACACAAAGTGCAAATCCACATCAGTATGTGATAAATACAAATACAAAGAAACTTCTCAATGTTTCCATAGAAATTAATATAAGAGAGAGGATATTTATTAAGCAATATATTCCATTATTAAATGAAGCCAGGATGGGTGTAACTAGAAGATGTAGTCAAGTCTAGTCCTAGTGACTTTATCTGGTACCACTCTACAACACGGAGCACTTTAGGATCTCATGTTCAGAGCACAAGTGAAGGCAGCAGTCCCCTGCAGCACAGAGCATTCCCAAACTCCAAAAGGGTCCCCATGCCATGGGTCTTTGCCCCTGCACACACCTTGGCTCTGTCAGCCTCCAGCGAGATGCGGTACGCTTCGTCCTGCTCTCTCTTCACATTTTCTCTGGCTTCACGTTCATCCTAAAGGTTAAATAAAACAAACATCAAATAGTGGACCAGTATGATAAGTATCTTCATGTTCCCCAGCACTCTTTAATCCCAGTGACTTCAACATCACCCAGCTACAGCTAGGAGAAATACATTCAGAGATGCCTCAAGGGTGACTGTGGCTTTAGAAATCCTGACTGCCTGAAGCTTTGATTCAGTTGCCAGGTAAGGGAATGAGTCCAGGCCCTGGCCTGAGGGCTGGATGAGGCACTCAGGCTCTGCACTGAGAGCCATGGCAGGCACAGAGACCTGGGGAGGAGCAGCCTCCAGTGGAGGGGTCACTGCAGGGGGGTATGGGCTGGAACTGGGGGGGGATTTCCCTCCTGCACCCAACAGCTTGGATGGTTTTGTAACAGGGAAGTGTGGTTTAGATGTATACACTAAATTGGTGACTGGATTTTCATTGGCTCTCTACTCAGAGACAGGCTGGTCCTGACAGAGAAAGCCCAATCCCAGGTCCTTCCTGGGTCAAAAACCCCTCCAGCAGGGTCCATCCAGGGTCATGACTATCAAACATCATCCAGAAGCCTCAATTCACAGTGCTGACCATTATATAAAGATGGGAAAGTAGCAGGTCCTGCTCTGAAGTATCTCAAATGGACAGATGCAGGCAAGCAAGGAACAGGTTGCCATGCCAGCAAAAAGTATCTTATCAACAATCACAGCACAAAAAAATAAAGGTTTACTAAAAACACACAAATGACAAAGCCATGCATCATCCACACAGTGGAGGATCAAAGGCTGGATATCTCCAAAAGCTGGAATAACTGCACTGGGGTGATGTCAAATAAAGCAAAGTGTATAATCAATATCTTCATACTCTGCCTCTGAAGCAGAGACAGTGGCTGCTCCCCTGTGCTTACTTGTCTTACATCTCATAATCCCCCCCAGAGCCCTGCAGAGGCAGCACTGGTCCCTACAAAAATCAATAGGATTTAGCTGTGAGACTGCTGGGGGCTCAGCAGGGTCTTCCCTGCAGTTCCCAGTAACACAGCACCTGCACTGGGGCAATCGGTCCTGTGCTTCACAGAAATTAAAGTCTACTACCTCCTGCTTCTTGAAGAATTATGTAATCTTCCCATTCAGCTGCAACATTTATTCCACATAAAAGAATAATTTTGCTAAATGATCACTTTTCTCCTCAAAACACCACTATTTGGCAAAAACTCAATTCTGAATGGTAGGAGCTCATGCTAACTGTAATTATCACAACATACAAACATGTCAAGATATTCCTTAAAAAAACCCCTCTAATATCTCAGATGCAAACACAGGAGGAAAGGACAAACTGCAGGGAAAACTATACAACTTCCACTTGGAAAGTACCAAAATCTTTTCAGAGGAAATTCTTCTTCCTTACAGAAGACAGGACCCAAAGTCATTCTACAATCAGCGTGTTCTGAATTTCGCTCCAACATTTAGAAACCATCTTTATTCAGCAGAACCAAAACACAAGTAGAAGTAATTCTTGCAAAATGCAAAAAAGGACAATAACCTCCAAATAACCTTTTCCCTTCCTAGCTACACTGGACATTGAAAAGTTTTAGGTACTCTGCTCATGGAACTTGAACCTGATAACAAAAACTACCCTACATGAATATTCCATTTTTGAGATGAAGGGGCATTGAAGTAATTAAACAGCTCCCATTTTTATGTTTTCCAAATATGAGGAAAGCTTGTTGAGTACACTGAAGTTTTCCCAATTCTTCTCATAGATGGAACATAGCAGTAAAGAAAAAATATTTTGTGCTATTTATACTGAGACTTTTCAGAAACATACTGAAAATTTATCTTATAATAGTGAGAACCAAAATAACCTTTCCAAATCAGCTCACTAAAGGAAGATGACTTCAGGTTATCTGCCAGAGGACAAGCCCTTAAAAAATATTTAGAATTATTTCAGATAGAACTTATTCAACGTTCATGTTTTTGACTCCATGTATCACACCTAAATCCACAAACCAAATTTCAAAGGCCACACAAGTCCAGTAATGCCCAAAAGAGCTTTGAAAGATTAGATACAACTCTTGCAATTACAGGCTCTTCTCCATCAAAGATTGCTAGCAACTATGATAGAGTTACTGTAGTTTATAAAAAAAAAAAAATTAAAAAATTACTGGTTCTATAGATTCTACAACCAGAACTGAAATATGAATTCCAGGCATTAAAAAAAAGTTAAAATGCTTTCTTCCCTATTCACTGCAGTTATCATCATGCTAGAAGTGGATTATGAAAAAGATGTCAGGAATGTGAAGAATTACCACGCATGACTGCCTGGTCCTCATAGAAATATGTGAGCCACATCTAAAAGTAAGTGACCATGCCACTGAGCCCTACACCTCATTGAAATAATACTTCTTACTGAAACAGACCTTAAAAACAAAGCTGGTTTCCAGAGATCTTTGGGTAAGCAGCAGATGTAATCCTGCAATGCCTCTTTGTACCTGCTTCTGTGTTAATACTCCTGCTTGCTAACACTGCTCACACTGAACAGGAACCAACCCCTCCACAGATTTTACGGCTAAATTGTGGTATTGTCTGGTTCAGAGTTACACCTTGGACAAATTTTAAACATTAGACAAAGCAGTTCTCCCTTTTGTAATGCAGTTTCTTATTTTAGTAATCTCTTCCTCTAGAGAGGAATGAGGATGCTTCACCAGAAAGCAACAAAAGAAAACTCACAGTGGTGACAGGAAAAGTTGAAGAAAATATTTTGCAGAGAATCTTCCACTGCACTAACAAAGAACATGTCAAGAGTAGTCATGCCACTTATAATTAATACAAAAAAATTCAGAAGTGTTATTCATTAATAAAATTTGAGGCAGCTGACAACTGTTAGACTCTACATAAATTGCAGTCACTATTGACTGAACATCATTAAATGCATCTTCACAGTGCTTCTGCAATGAAGGCAGAACTGGCACCTTACTTATTCAAGAAATCAAAGTATAAACAGACATGGCTTATCCTGGGTCACTTAAAAAGCCTTCATCAGAAACAGTGGAATTCCACAGCAGTGACTGAAGGCTGGTGTGAATGCAAACCATACACATCCCAAAGGTTTGGGGCTTGAGACAAGGGGACAACACTCCTTTGCACCTAAAAAGGGGAGAAGTCACAGATTTCTCCTTTCTTGTTTTGACAATGAGACAATGGGAGGACATACATTCAATGGAAGGTTGGAAATCTGAAAAAAATAGCTTCTATTCACAGAATGCATTCTTCAGCTATGACTTTGCTATTCTGCTTCTTAGAGATACAGTCAACCCAAAAATATCAAACACTTATGAAATAGCTACAATTGACCATGTAAACTTTTGTGGACCCTCTGGTCCATGACCAGAAAACCTTCCACTGAGGAAAAACTCACAGATAAAATTAAGAAGAATTTTAGGATAACCCTCTCATATAATTATTTCCTAAACTATTTGTTGAAGTTAATGCTGAAATACCTAGTGACAGGCATTTTCAGATGCAGGATGATGGGCAAATAGGGATTCTTGATTGAATTTAGGATAGCAGATTCTACAAGTTAAAAATATTCCACTTTTTGAATGGGATATTTTGCTGGAAAAGTCAGCATTGGCCCTTCTGGGCTTTTTTTTCCTTATTTATCATTGTCTCTTCTGAAGGTAAGATTTAATTATTTAACTCCAGGAATCAGATTTGCACCTGATTTGTCTCAGAGAGCTGTGTTTTATTATTGCCCACTGCCCTTTGGGACCAGTTCTACTGTGAAGTAAAAGCGGATGAGACAGAACTTGAGAAGATAACCAGGAGCAGAAGACATTTCTCATATCTCAGTGAGGCAAGGGCTATTACAAGAAAGAAAGAAAGAAAAAAGTGTATTTCCAAATGCTGAATGCCCATCTGAAAGACAGTTCATTTCACTGAACTACTCCTGAAATTAAAATCTGCAAATGCTTAAGGCTATTCAAGGGAGCGTTAAAAGAGAAACACCCCTTTGTCCAAACAAACCAGTGCAAGAAAGGCATTAATTTGACTCACTAAGATGACAGACTTGCACATTGTATAACTTAAACATACATGATGGGGAATATAGGGCAGGAAAAAGTGCACACAGAATGTGTTGGGTGTATGGGAACGACCAGGACAAAGCAAATGGACGTTTTAGCGTGGCAGAACCACAGGAGGAGGCAGGATGGGGCAGGGTGAGGAGCAGAACAGCACAGAACCACCACAGGATCCTGCCTGTCCACACTGAAGGCTGAAAGCTCAGTTCCAGATATGGATTTTTCAGAATTAACTGAAGTGATAAGAAGAAAACCAACCTCAAAACTTTCAAGGAGTCCTGCAGTGTTTTTCTGGGGGAAAAGAGCCAGCCAGTCCTGAGACATCTGCCCAGCTGGGCTGAATATTCACTGACAAGTCTGGAGCCATCAACATGTACAGCCTAAAAGCCACAGGGACTGAACATATTTTATCCCCCTTCTTTCTTTCTTTCCTCTGCCATTGCCTTGCTCTTTGCCAAAGCTCTACCCATGCTGTGAACTCTTGAAGGCAGCACTTGCACCCACCAGGGTGTGTGCAGCCAAGTGCTCAATGGGAAGCCCAACGTTTGGGCTGCTATCATATTACAAACATAAAATCAGAAAATTTAATCAGATAAATTTTGATTACTGTAGTTTAATTAGTTATAACTAGTAATAATTAGTAAATGTGCTAATTAGATTTTTGAGGGGTTAAATCCCAATCTTCGCTAGACGCTTGTCATCACCATAATGTTTTTGCGCTTTGGAATTTAATGAATTTCGTGTATTCTCATAATCTCTTGTTGTGTAAATACTATACACCACGATATACATGACAGTGTTAGATGAAACACAGATTATCCAAGGTTTCAGATGCCTGATTTCTAATGATTTACATCAGAGCTTCAGTCCTCAGCAGAAATTTCAGAGGTCTCTTGCAGAGCTGATGGAAGCCCTTCCCCTACATTTGACAGCAGTGAGGCAGAAAAGGAGGAAAAGACATGGTGACACCAGGCTTCTCACAGCACAGCTATGGAAATATGACTTGGCCACTAAAGCCCCAAAATGCTCTGGCAAGGAAAACAGGAAAAGAATTCATGCTGCTGTTTTGGAGTTTTGGTTTTCCTTCAAGTGTTTTTTAAATCCCCATCCAGATATTGGTGAGGAAGGACCTATGTTTTCCTCAAGCTCTAGAATTATCTAGGAAAGAGATGTCACCCAAGAACAGAGAGGAAAGATGGTGACCCTACAGGCCTACAGTTTTCTACAGCTTATCTTCAGTCAGAGTCTGATTACAGCAGTTTTTCCAGTTTAAAAATTCTTAAGTATCTCTCTTTTATGCTACAGACCCATGTGCTGGCAGACATAGTTTAAAGTGAATGAAAGGTTTCAAATGTTATTTGTAAAAATAAGAAGGCCTCTGAAGCAACTGTGGACATTACAATTCCATCTTGATGTCTAATCCAAGAGCAGGAGTGCCCGTGTTGCATAAGGACAAAAATAAACACGACCAGAGACCTACTGTTACTTAAATGTGGACAAGTTGGACCAGCTGTGTAACAGTCATTTCTTCTACAGTAATAAATGTTGACAGCAAAAATAAAAAATGCATTACTGAGGCATCATCAAATGAGCCCTGTCATTACATGGAAACTCCACCCTGTATAAGCTTGTCAAAAAGTGTTACTGTAATCCTTTGAGAAGCCTCCTCCTCAGGCAATGAAGAAAAAATGTTGAGGATCAGCCCAGAACAGGTGTGTTGTGCTGTAATGCCAGGATTTAATCACAGATCTCTTCACATTAGCCTCACAAAGGAACTAACTCAGATCTATTTGTGCCCATCACGCCACACTGATATGATTATTTAACTACCCAGTTAAAGCAAGCAAGCTCACAGGGTGTTTAAAAATGGACATTCCAGGGCGTAGAATATTTTACAACTATTGTTTTGCTAAGTCCAGCACCAGGCATTGACACTTAAGAGGAACTGATGCTCAAGAGGAACTGATACTACAATGCTCTTTTCAAAGTCAGTGCCTGAAAAATCTCTGTGCACACCTTGATTAACAGTGGGAAAGGCTGGTTATCCCTGCTCTGAGAGACCCTCTCTTGCTTACAGGAGGAACTCCTTGATGCCATTTATTCCCTCTGCAAAACCCCACTGCCTGAGCAGTAGCTGGGGTGTCAACTCCTGTAGTGGTGACCAGGGGAGCAAACTTGGTTAGAAAAAGGAAGTGTGTCCATCAGATGCAGAAAATCATCAGTGCAGCTGCAGAATAACTCTGCATACACAGCGTGAGGTTGGACTGCAGCCCCCAGACCTGACTGCACTGGGAAAGGTGGGGCTGTATCCTGGCCAAGAGGCTTCACTGGTGATGGTCACTGAGCCCACAGCTGAATTATCCATTGGCCTCTTATCAGAAGAGCCATGTGAGCACATCAAGTGTGCTGCTAATCCGATTTTGCTGCTTGTGGCTTGTTCTTACAGCAATTTTAGGAGCGAAATTATAAAACAGACACCTAGACTGTGTATGTACAATGGCACATCAACAGCATGGTCCAAAAGAGGCAGAAGGTTTCCAAAATGTCATCTGGCCAACACAGCAACAGCTCATGACTGACCCTGAACCTTGGAGAGGCAGGGAAAAGAATAAGACAGCAGGTTGATCTCCTTTGAGGGAGAGAAAACAGGTGCAGAAGTTACACGCCAGGACAGGCATGTTGGGTTACTATGAGTACATGTGTCCATTCCAATGTTTTTAAGGTATTTCTTTGGAGATTATGTAAGAGCACAACACACAAATCTAAAAATTAAAACCAATTGATAGTTAAAGTGATGGTAGTTTAGCACTTGACACTAAAAAAACGTGCAAGAGATTTGCCCTATTAAAATCTTATGAGGCTAAATTGGTAAATTTTACCAACACATGGATACAAAAGCACAAGATTTAGCTAAGCATATTATTATTACCAGCAGCTAATGAGGTGGCTCACTCAGGTGAGTTAAGTTGAGCATCCCACCTTTACCCCCAGCAGATGCCCAGGGACAGGAGCTGCCTGTAGCTACAGCCAACATCAGCTGAACACCTGGACCAGCAGCTGGAGTGGTACCAGTCCTCCTGTACCCAAATAACCATCAGAGGGCACTGCAAAACACACTGTGCCAAACAGGATTATGCAATGGCTGTGCTGGAAGCTTTCAAGTGCATGAGAATTTCAGCTGCATAAACTCACTCATTACTAACTTCATGTACATTTACAAATGTTTCTAGTTCTGGTTCTTTCTCACACACACTTCTGTTTACAGCAATGCTACACTGATGACTCTTTTTAAAGCACAAAAGAATTTTCTGCTTATCTTCTTGTGGTTTTATGATGACTTAGAGTTGCTACTAAGAAAACAGTAACAGAAACCGGACTCTGTATCCTGTTTGCTATTGTAATATTTGGGAAAAAATTGCACCAACTGCAGTAAGATCTTAAAAAAGAAAAGGTGTTGATGTTTGAACACTTGAAGTTGTCAAGTACAAGGCTTATGAGAAAGATACATGTTACGTAGCTAACCACAAAAAGGCAATATTTTGTTCTCAGGCTGAAGCCATCTATTGAGTACAGATTGCTTGTCAAATACTCCCTCTCTGGAATAGTAATTTCATAAAGCAAGGTTGTTTTTTGTTTTGAAAACTTCCTGCTTCAAAGGAAAAGTGTCTTGAGATCACCTTTTCATTGTGCTTGTAACGAGTGAAGCCAAGGTGTAAGTAAATATCCTACTTGTGTATAGAAACCATAGTGTCTGGAAAGCTGCCCCCAAAGTTTATGAAATTTTCCATCACTTTTCTGAATGTCAAAGTGTGTTAGAAAAAGCTCCTGTTGGGGAAGAAATGCCATCAGTGCTTTCAGTGACAGAAAAACAAAAGACTACAGAAGACCTGGACAAAGGTAGATTTTGGAGAAATGTATAAAATTCAATTTTCCATTCTCCCTAGTTAGGTAGAGCACTTGGAGAAAGAAGTCAGGAGACAACAAACCCATGTGGGGAGTGGACTGTCACCGTCACTGCTCTTGGCTGTCCAGGGAAGGACAAAGAGCAGCCCAGGACAGGAGCCAGTTCTTGGTTCTGGGTCCAGTCCGGTGTCCTGCTCCTCACTCTGTTCCAATCCTATAACTTCTAGTTTCTTCTCCTACCCCTTGTTTGCTCTTATCTCTCCAAATTTATATGCTTCTGTTTCCCTCTGTTTTCTTCCTTTTTATCAGCTTTTAAAGTTTTTAAGTCTGAAATTCTCTTGGAACTCATCTGTGATGTAAATTTCACCCTCTTACTAAAGCATTAAAAAACTCCCAGACTTAAGACACTCCTGTTAAAATGCAATTAAAAATCAGTTATATTGTGCCTTGGATTTTTGTTGTAACCCTTATATTTAAATGTGTGTTCAGTATTAATAAAATTGAAGTCAATTTCTTTACCAATGAATTACAGGTAGCATAAATAAAGAAGAAAAAGTGAATGACACATATTGTGCAGATAATGTGCCTTCATATTTATAGTCAATAAATCTGGTACTAATGAGATACAAGATTTAAATGTGAAGAACGTGTTTTGTGAATTATTGTCAATCAATGTCTATACAACAGGATAAAGAATAATCTTGAATGGCAACACACCTATTATTATAAATTCCTAAGAACTTCACTACTTAAAAAATGTCACTCTTAATTTACAGAGTAACAGATAAAGATCTTTCAGCTGCGTAACTCACTTTGTCTGCTTCTGTGTAATTGAAACACTGGTTTTGAGAAGTCTTATCATCATTTATGCATTCTGCATCATTCTGAGTTGTGGCTCAGTACTGGTGTACTGGTTAAAGTTGGTTTCAGCCCCCTTCTAAACACACACATTTAAGATATATTAATTTATTTTTGTTTTCTACCTATGACTTGGAGCTGGTCAGTGGCAAAAAATCTGATAATTTTCCTTGCATATTAAGCATATAGATCACATTAAGCTCTATAATATCACTATAATGCACTATGTGACTATGTTCAGAAAAAGAAAAGAAACTGAAAATGACGAGACCAAAAAGGAGGAGTTCCGAGAGACCCAAATACACAAAGGAGACTTTACTTTTTTAATTTCTGACAATGGAGAGACACTAAAATAAATCATGCCCAACTCCTCTGGCTAAAGAAACATCTGGTTAATTGACATCCCCAGTGATTAGTGGAGGCCAGGAGGTATCTGCAGCCACTTTCAGTGCTCACCTCATCCTTTATGTCTTCCTGCTGCTGGGCACTGAAGATCTCCATTGCAGCCATCAGCCTCATCATCAGCTCATCCACTGTTGTGTTACCTAGCAACAAAGAAAGATAGCTGAACTTCACTTCATTAAAGTTATTAAACAAAAAAGAAGTAATTTCAGAATTAATCCATAAGAAATAGCCAGATTAAAAAAAAAAAAAAAAAGACAAGAGTAGAAAATGCAAATATCTCAGTAGAATGCTTTCAGTTCACTTTTTTACTGAAAATTCAGAATTATTTTTACAAAGGTTGATCACAGGTTAAAACTTCAGGTGGTGCAAATCTGAACAATTGCTTTTATGCTTGCATAAATTAACTCTATTTTGTCTTTTAGTCACTGATGTTAAAGGCAAGCAGTAGATCTGGGACTCCCTTATGTAAAATTGATTTTACAGATTTAGAATTCCCAGACAGACCAAAGCAACTGCTCAGGCAGGCAACACAAGGTAGGATGTTGGCAGCAGCATCCAAGTGGATTGGTTTAAAACAATGGAAAACCCACAATACAATGATTGAATGGATATGACGAAACATATCCACATTTTATTTGGATATAACTAGCAATAAAATTTCAAATACTGTATTTTCTTCAGTCTAACTACTTCTCAAAAAACTTACAAAGCTACTGAAGTGAAAAATTCTGTCATCCATGTGTGAATCATGAAATAGAACACATACATGGGGAAACATATACCTCCCCAGCTTTTCCTTCCAGTGTGCCCCCAGTCTCCATTAAGACTGAAAGATAATTTCCTACTAAGATGCATTCTTTGGTGTCTCTTTCTAAACTGAAGACTAGACTACCCATTAAAGCCACTTGTCATAGTAGTTGAAAGGTCCTAAACCATAAGAAATGGTCAAAAACTATGAAGTGTTAACATCTGCCAGCCTAAACAGCTGTTAGACCCGAGCAGAACAAGTACCACTAAAGAAAACAAGACTGTCCCCATAGTTTCCCACCCCAGGAAAAAAATAAAATTCAAAAGCAAACTAAGACAGTCTGCATTTCAATAAATGCCACCAGGGTCTTAGGTTTCTATATAGTTGTATCTCTTCTGTCAACATGCCTTCTCACCCAGCCCTGAAAGGCCCTCATTGTTCCCATTTCTAACATTTGCTACCTTAGCAGAAAATGTTATCCCACATGCTACAACATGCAGGATTTCAGAGACTACCATTCATTGAGGCAGTATTGTTAAAAGATACCAGTGTCCCCATTCCTGGGAAAATAACAAGCAGAGATTGTGTGATTTTTGTTAAAGGATGAATTTAAGTAAGGCTACAATAGGTGATTGTTTTAGTTTAGTTCAAAAGATCACAGAAAACCTGACAAATCATTAAAACTTAACACATACAATTAAATAATCTGGATTATTTTTAATATAAAGCTGCATTGTATTATAACTTTGAATTGTTGCTAAAGCTGTTAAGTAATTTAAGTCAGTAGCACCACTGACATCAGCGGGATGGCAAAGGTTCTGAACTGTACTGCAGAGTCAGAAAACTGACCTATTTATAAGACTATTCCTATGAAATAACCTAAGAAACTTATGAAATAGGTTTTATAAGTTACAGGCATGAATTAGTGTTGTGCTGTACCTTGCACTGAGGAGACAAAATCCATGCAAAAATTAACCATTTTGTCCACAGGAAGGAACACTGCAGATTCCTCAAGTAAATTATTAATCCCAGATGCATAAAGAAACACTAATGCTTGTCTGCAAAAGGCAGCATTTCCTGAGGCTGAACTTCCTCAAGAAAATGAGATTACAATAAAGATTGCCAGATATAAGCAATAAAAAAATGAGGTCACAGTGTCATGAAGGCAAACTTGTGGAGAAAGCAGAAGAAATGAGAGGCAGCCATTCTTTGATGTGCTCTAATTTGAAGAGTTACTGAGAACAGCAGTCAGAGGGCAACACTCCACATCTAAGTCATCTTGTTGTCAGTGAAATCAGAGGAATGGTTACACCAGAAAGAACTCCTCATGTAAACCAGAAAGCTTCATTTATGTGAAATTATATTAGGAACTTCAATCTTGACCTGATGTGGGGGTCTTGATGCTGCAGGCAGGTCTGAAAAAGCAACTCATGTCCAAATATTAGCAAGAGGAGCCCAGGTATTAACAATGAACTGCACACAAAGAATCAAATGCATTCTGGCACTATGCAGAAGTGCAGCCAAGATCTTTTGGAAATCAAGAATGTATCAGGATATAAATTTGGAAAACTAAGTGTAGCTCCTTATTTAGGGTCTACAACTTCCACTTAAAAAAAAAAAAAAAAGAAAAGCATAAACTATAATTCTACTACAGTCATGGCAACCCAATTTCTAACACCATGTTATTTAATACATTTATGAGTAGTAGATAATTATACCCTGGCAACTTAAAGTGTGTTTTGTGTAATAAATGAATATTCTGGACATCTTAAAAGAGAAACAGCAAAGACCTCTTGTAACAGTTTCAATACTCACATAAAGAATTCCTGTAATATAAAGAACTGTACCTTGTATTACATTCAACACTTCATTAGATGATCGTTTTCCCATAATAATAAGGAAAAGTGGAAACTGGTCTGTCTTCTGAGTTCGAATGGTTTGGGCTACAACACTCCCAAAATGTCTAGTGCACATCGTCAGAAACCTTGCGGGGGAAGAAATAAATAGTTAACATTGTAGAGGATTTTTTGAAGATAAGTTTAAAAAATAATGATACTAAATTCAGCAGTTTAACTGCATGTTACCTACTCTATAACACATTCTGCATTCAGTTCTAGAGCTCTTTATCTCTTTTTATCACTAAGTTATTATAATATTTACAAACATGATAGGGTCCAGGTTATCTAAATTAAAACAATTAACAATTGCTTGAGACAGTGATTTATTTAATGGAGAATTCCATTTCCTGTTACACTATGTGAAGACTATAATTCAAAACTACTCCCCAAAATAATAATGCTGAATAAATTGTTCAAAACTTCTAAAGAGAAACTAAGTAGAGCAACAATGTAATAAACATGGTGAAGTATAAAAATAGTAAATTTCATACAAAAGCATAATTTAATAATAAAAGAAATTGGTTTAATCAGTCAGAGAATGAAAACATGGTACTTCAGAATTGTATTTTCTTTTGTACTAGTGCCCTGCCAGTGACATACGTAGCAGTGTGGTCTAAAAAACAATAATTCTAAGCTTTTGACCAAAAAAAGCTCTTAGATATTAGCATACAGAAGTCTAACATTAGTATTCTTAACACGATCTTGAATAAATGAAAAAACTGATAAAGCTTTTCTCTTCCATTAAAGGACTGTTTGAAATTAGCATTTCTTTCAAGAGAAAAGGGTAGCTTATGATATGTTTTCAGATCTGATGGTAAAAAGTAAATGTCATAATAATAATGAATTATGAAAGACCAAATGCAAATATAGAATGCTTTAATAAGATCCAATTTAATAAAGTCTGTAAAAATAATGGACTTTTAATAACACGGGTCACAAAAGGCAAAACAGTGGAAATTCTGAGGACTAGCCACTGGTACAGGCTTATTAATTCTTAATTATGTTCATGAAAGGCAACTTAAATCATGTGTTTTCTTATGCCTTATGATAATATTTTAGGTAACAACTACTCTGAAATGTATGCTCTAACTGAAGAGCAAAGTCCCATTGTCACATGCATTAGAAGCCAAATCTATTTGAAAAGACAAACTACATTAAAATGTCAAGTGCTCCAAGTAATTTCTTCTCAAAGATACTGAAAAGATTCAAAATTGTGATTTTTTAAATCAATATATATATTGTATCCAATAAAATGGATAAAATTGATAAATCTGAGAAGTACAGCATTTGGCTTATTTGAGGCCTCTAAAGTACTAAAAAAATCTCTCCTTAGAGAGAATTTGTCTATGGCTGTAGTTGGATGGAAGGCAATGGGTGGGGGTGGCAAGCAAGTATTTCAAAGCCATAATAAGTGTTACTCCCTGATTCTCTGTATTTTTCAACTCAGAACAATCAGACACAAAAGAAGACATCAAAAAGCTGAACAAACTCTGCTATATCAGAAACAGCGACACCAACACGTAACATCTGGTGAGGATAAAACAGCATCTGTAAAGTCTGGACATATCAACTCTTCAGATAAATAATGGCTTTTGATGTTTTCCTTTCAAGGTGGGAACAGGTAAGTGAAATGTTGGCCTCACAGCAGTCAGTGGTGATCCTCCACAGCAAAATTACTTATGTGAGTTCAAGGTTTCACTCCTGGAAGCAATAAAGACAGTGGACAACTGAACTGAATTCCTAAATTTGTGTATTAAAACTGTCTAACAGCCTTCAACACAGCACAGAAGAAAAGCACTCAAGTTTCATGAAAAATCAAAATATTTAACTAGAAGTGAAGAAGTGCTGTAGAGAACAATGCGAGAAGGAACAAAACTAAAGAGACTCCTACAGTCCTGATTGTACTAGTCAAAGGTGCTGACTTATTAATTTTTTTTAAAGTTTTTATTTTTGTATTTAGTCAACAAATAACTCAGTCCCAAATTATGCTTTTACAGGTACAGGTTTTGCAAGCAGTGAATTCTGAATGAAGAATATTTTTTTTCCTTCTTTTCTGCCTTTCCTGATTTTGTATTCTTAGACCTTTTTACTTTCAGATTCATAGCCAGAAAAAAGGGATCCCCTTTTTTCTCTAAAAAATCCCCTCTGTGCTAATATTTACTGCTAGAAGTGAGCAGGACCAAAACAACTTGAGGCAATAACCAGTATCTTACTCTGTACATCATTTATAAGGGATTTTCTTACTTTCATCTAAACAGAAGTGTGCCAGATCTCTCAGTGGCATCTCCAGAGCTGCCAAAAAAAGTGCCTGTGGAGTCCATCAAAGAGACAGATGTCCCTCCAGGGAAAAGGGTTTTCCACAGCATTGGATTACTGTGATCTCCCACCAACAGTGGAAATAGAGGAATGCTGCCAGAAAGGAAGGGCAAACAGCATCCTACTAGTCCTTTTATTTTGAAATTACAAGAATGTTCAAGGAGGGAGCAGGAGAAAGGCAAAAAAAAAACGTTTTATAAAGTAAAAATTCATTTAAAAATAACCTCAAAAGTTACAAGAAAAAAGTTCATCAATAAAAGTTCCAGTTCTGGCAAGCAGCACCATTTCTTTCATGGCTCAGTAGCAATGAAACCAGCAGTTACAGCTACAGAATAAACATGGACACTGACCATGGCTTGACAAATACCGAAACAAGTTAAAAAATGTAGAAACTATTGAAGTTTTTTAATAGATTGAACAGGTATTAATGCTTAGACATAGTTCACTTTATAGTTAAAAGTGGCACTAAGGAAAAATTATTCTGGTGCCATGAAGATGTTGACTGGGGGAGTTGCTGATGCCTGCACAGTAATTATCCCCCCACATGCACCTTGAGACAACCTGTGTGAGGAGTTATCATCTTTGGAGCTCATGAGTTTTCCAAAGAAGAATGCTACCATTTCCTACCAGCTAATATGTGAGGCTTTATATTAAAATACACTCCTGGCATAGCTTTTTGTATTAATTTAAAAATCATTTTTATTAATGTAGTAACTTACTTAATATTACTTTAAAATAAGGTCCTGGAATGCAATTATGACAAAATAATAGCTTTAAGATCTACTAAAAAAAGTTTTATATCTTACTGGTTCTCAAACCCAAAAGAAATACTTATTACAACTTAAGTCTCAAGGCTGTACTCTATCATAGCTTCTGATCTCAAATATGCTATGTAGCACTCTGTAGTAATAATTTGTTTCTGTGGCAGCTTTTAATTTTTAATAACAAAATTGGGCATTTCTGGCCAAAGTGATGGTCATCAAAAGAGCTGATCTCAGAGCTCAACATTATTTGATATCTGGAAAAAAGCTATGATGGTAAATACTTTGGAAAAAGGTCAATATTCCTTTAGTATTTCTGTTTAAACAATTTGGTAAGTTAGGACCATCTCTGGTGCCTAGCTCCTGACAGGGACAAGGCAGAGGCACTGCTTGGCTTTGAACAGTCGTGTTGTATTTACCAATGTGAACTCCTTCAAAGCCACTCCTACTCCTGCCTAGTAGAGAAAAAAATCCACAAAGAAATGAAGAACTGGAGAGGAGTTAAAGGAAGAACTTAATGAAGAATTGAGGATTCTGAGCAATGAGAGTTATCTGCATCTCCTTTAAAAACCACAGCACAGAGCAGCAGTTCTCCCTGCTGCCCTTGGCCCTGATGCAGCAGGACTCCAGAGGAGCAGAAAAATTCAGTATCCCTTGTCTTTCCATGCAGAAAAGTGCCATCAGCACTGAGAGACATGGACACCACCCACCAGTCACCACTGAAACCAAATACTCACCACTCAGTGCCTGTCCTCCTTCTGATCCCCAATTTCCGAGGCTGAATAGCTCTCCATATATCCCCAAATTTATCTGCTTTCTCAAGGCATTATGAATAAACCTCAAGCAATCAACACAGTGGTAGAAAGAGCAACTAAACCTAAAATGTTAACTCTAGCTGGTTTATATTAGCAAAACAGACCTGCAGAAGAAAACCAAATCAGAGCAGGTTGCATCTTGCACACTGTAGTGTGTTCCTGGAATGTGCAGAGGGAGACTCGGTGCTATATTTTGAATGTTTTTTGCATGTCAAAAAATAAAAAAATTGAAAGCTCTTGTTGGCTTTTGATTTTTTTACTCTCTCCCCAGCACCTTAATGTTATTTAACAATTGTATTAGCAAATGTCTAGTGCACTCAAGGTCAAATTGTCTTCCATAAAGAGAGAACTCAGCTCTCAAATGTACGGAAAAATGCATTAAAAGAAATACTAAAACATTCACAATATTTTAGATCTTCATAGTATTCATAGTATTTTAGATTTTTTTTACTTTCTGTGTCAGTAGAAGTAACAAAGATTTGGTTATTTGTCGCAGTCTTACTCATATAAATTCCTGAAGTTATTTTTTGTTTTTATGCACCTAAGGGAAAACTTTGGAAAAGTTTCCTCCTACAATGAGGCCTTTGGCACATGGTGCCCAAGATACTTTTTGGAAAGCATTTTTTAACAGAACAGAAAAGCCTGCACTGGAGATGTTTTTTGCTGTATGTTCTTAGCCTAAAGTACTCCTCAAAAAGCAGCAGCTGCAGAAAATCTGACAATCTCTTCTAAAATACCTATTCCCTTTTAGAACACAAAGAGGATGACTTTGGGCCAAAAAAAGTGTGATTTATTTATGACTAGATAATTCCTAAAGCCAACCTTAAACAGCCTTTCACATTTCAGAAATGGGTTTGGAAAAAAAGTAACTTCTTTATGGAGCATGAAGAAAACAATTATGAATATTAAATATGCAAAGTTCCTGATTATTTTTAATCATAATTATATAATGTGCAAAGTCAACATAAGACTCATTAAAATGTTAATGTAAAAATAACATTTTTGTATTAGGTATTTACATTTTTAGAAGAGTAAAAGCTGAGATCCTGAATTGTCATATTAAAATAATCTTGCTCTCCATAATACGGAGTGACTGCCTTACCCCCATGGGTAGGGTCATACCTCAAACACAAGGAGCAGCAGACACAAGGCACATTTTAAAGATGTATACAGCAGCCTAAATCAAATTATGTG